AACTCATGAGTTGGCTACCCCTTGCCATCCTATACTTCCCAGTGCACCTCTTTTGAAGTGTCAGATCCCACCTTAGAGTCCTTCCATTTCATGAATATCTTACTATTTTTACGTTCTCAGCTGATTGCTCCTATGGCACTCAATGTGTTGAATAAACCTCAAAAGTATTGCTGTTCTCGCCTTCTGGAAGACACCCCATCATTATTGTACCTCCATCCATATTGCTCAAACTTGTTTTCACCATTGTTCATTATTGTCATCTGCACGAATAGAGAGAGAGAGCGATGAGGAGACACTATTGAATATTTCTTCATTTTTGCTCACATAGCTCTATAGTGATTAATTCTGGGTCGTCCTTATGCTGCTAAGGACCGCAGTACTCCACTCTACCTTACTTATTTGGTGGAAGTTGATTGAACTGAACTTCTGAAAGATTGATATGAATCAGATTATCAATGTCATATCATAATATACTAATTTTACAGACTTCAGTTTAATCAAAGTATGTTTTTCCAATGCACTATCCTTGATGGATATGTAAGATCATAAATACTCAGAATTGAGTGGACATATCTGAGACTTAATTACGTTTATTTCCATAGAATTTTTTTATACTTGCAATAATCAAGCTTAAAAAACAGTTAAAATTTTCCACATGTATTACATGTTATCTTTTGCCACATTTTTTCTGTAAGAAAGATTTCTATTTGAATATTTCATATATATTCGTGCACAGTGAGAGATAAATATGTGAATTTAAACTAGACATTACGATATTTTCTGGTTAAAATTATTATCTTTCTGTTAGATTTTTGTATCGTATTTGTCACTAATATCAATGTATCACTAGATTTTAAATTTTAGATGAAAAACTCACCTAGGATGAATTTAATATCTCTCTCTCATATGAAGATTTGAATAGTACAGCTTGGGGGCCTAGATGCGCTTAGATATGAGATTACTAGTGTGAATGCATGTACAATCTAAGCTTCGAGAAGAGCTATTGAGTCATCACTTTTTGGTCTTCATCTACATCCATTTGTTGATACATTCGTTGTTGATATTTTTCAGTAAAATCTCAAGTACCAGGACAACTTCTGCTCTTCTTCTGGAGCCGAAGTGCCAACACCTGCAATGTTTCACAATCAGCATCTGATCTGTGCTAATCAATAAGTTTCAAACCTCAAACAGCTTTGATAATCATTTTCTCGCCTAAGCTATTGGGATGATGGAGGAATGAAATTTTATCTGACATCATTGGATAGTACCAAAAAAGCTGAATATCATCTGCTCTCGTAGAAACTTTTTATTTGCAAAGAAGGATAAGAGAATAATGGAAGAATATTTCTGGTTGACTCCCTGCAATCGCTTCGAATTCAATGAAAATCTACCTCACATTTAGAACAAGAAATGGTTCTTTTGCATGCTTTGTAGTCCAAACGGCCGCCGTGAATCCATGCAGCATGAGAGTAGAGTTACATACTGTGGACCCCCAGCAAGAAAGAAACAATTCTGGGTGATTGTGATCCACATACAAGATTCTTCTCGTCGGTGACCGGTCCAAATGTGAGGAAGAGAAGCTTTGGCATTTTTTTGTCAAATGTTCCTGCTATCAGCAGAAGGGATCTGTGCCTCCGTCACAAATTGACTTGAATTCCAACAGGAGAACATACATCTAGTCGTGGATAAAGATGAGAAAAAGATATGGTTCTCCATGCATGGACCTACCATGCTTGTCTGTACCACTCTTTTCTTCCTCATCTCTACCACGATACATACGCAAAATATATATTGTCCATATCAAAAAGATAGTCACTCGTATGAAGAGAAAGCATGGTTTGATTCCAGTCTATGGTCTTCGAATCTCTTAATATGTAAGTTCGTTCCGATTGTCAATGAGACTATCAGATCTATCAGATCTATACATCTCCGACTTGTGATTTCTCAGAAATTCGATGATGCTTTTTGAAGTAAAAAATGTCTCATAATGATGTTGACTATTGGGTTCTCATTTTGGCCCCTCACCTCAGCCTCTTCTTCTCTTCATAAAATCCACTAAAGCTCCATAAAGTCAAGATGCTGCGAAAGTCTGTTGTACATGTACACAAGCTACTTTTTCCAAAATCTCAAATGTGAAAGTGCTCTGAAGACCGGTCAAACCTTCTTCATATTCCTCAACCTCCTCTATCCCAGAGTATAGAAAAAAGAAATGTTTTCTTCAGATAGGAAAATGTATTTCTCCCCATTTTCAATTGTTGTCGGATTTTTCGAACCTCTAGATCATTATTCGTTACAACTTGTAGAAATCAGGGACCTGTGATATCGGCAGTGGAAATTTGGTTGAGTCTTTTAGCCAGTGATTTAGTTGCAACAATGACAGTGAATATAAACGAAGCTAAACGGAGCGAGTTGTGTTGAAAGCTTATTCTTGTACAAGGAGGAAGCTTCAGCAATCATGGTTCACAGGTGATGATTGCCGATTCGACTCAAGTGAATGATGGTCCGGTCCAACTTGGACTTGAGGTCTCAATCAAAGCTGGGTTCATCGTCCATGCTTCTCCAGTTTCTCATGCCTGCACATGACTCCAGCTTCTATATGAAGGTTGGAACAAGATCTTCATGTTTGTTCGAATTGTGGAACTCCAATGAGTGACATCGGTGTTCCTCACAAATGGAGACATAACTCCAGCTTCTAGATGAAGGTTGGAACAAGATCTTCATGTTTGTTCGAATTGTGGAACTCCAATGAGTGACATCGGTGTTCCTCACAAATGGAGAGGAGGTCGTCGTCTTTTCACTGTCTACGATGATTGGGCTTACCTTTGAAGATAGAGGTACATTCCCTTGGGAGTACCATATTTGAGTCCACCATCAAGTATCCCTTCCTTAAAATGTATAGTTTCTGCCTAGCACTGAATTGTGATCACTGACTGAGATTCATGGTGGGCAGACACGCGGGTCTGCTGCCGAGTGCAATATGGCAAGTTGTCTTAGAGCGTGATAGCACAATAAACGTACAAGACACTCCTTGTAGCAACAATCGAGGTTGGTTGTTAACAAATCGGTTCGATGGACTCTGATTTTCCAAGGATAATAACAGTTCGGGTTTCGCCAGGATCTGCTTCTGTGTGCCGCTGGAATGATTGCACACTGATTCCTGCTTTCTCCCCCCCCCTCGAGACGAGTTAACTTCTCGACACAATGTCTTGCACTGATCGGGACACTGAATTTCAGCTGTGAAGCAAAGTCTCTATTGTATTGACCTTCGTCTCGAGCAATGATCAAGGCCATTATTTGGGGACGGAGGGAGCCGTGGCACTCTCGGTGTGTGCAACGAGAAGGGTGGAAAAGTTGCTATCGGCTCGAGAGTTCGGCCTACAAGCAATCACCTGGACAGTGTAGAATAAACATATCCTGTATTCACAGTGTTCGCTTCGCCTGTGACATCCATGGGTGGCATCGGAATCATCTGCCGTCTATAGAAAGAAAGGAAGAAAGAAGAAAGAATGTTTCTCGTCGGCAGCGTTGCCGAGCACACGCTACAAGACGCCATAGCTGCCACGACAAAAGCAAGTGGAAGGTACAAACCACAAAGCCATGCTCGACAGACTCAGACTGAGGCTGCTGCTGCAGCAGCAGCAGCAGCTTACAAGCACACTCCGAGCACAGTTGGAAAAGCCGGACGACATACTCTCATATTCCTGTATCATGAATAATGATACCGAGCTTAACCACCAGAGAATCAACAACCAATGTGAGCGAGGATCGAGAGAGAGAGAGGACGGCGAATAGATTAATTGAGAATGAGGTCCGAAGATCTCCACACAACCTTCCTCCCTGAGGCCGGAGCGTGGCGTCCTTCCCTCAGACACCACACCACAATGGCATCTCTGGACTCGAAGGAAGGCGATGAAGAAGCTCGGATTGTGGAACACGTTGCCTGCCTGGGTCAGCCGTCGGTCATCTCGAGCTCGAGCTGTTCTTTCTGATCAGCATTCGGTGCTCCATTTCTGATGACGTGGGCCTGAGCTCGTAGGCCCCGATCGTGGGGGTGGGTTCGGGTCCCTGGCCACGAGTGCCGTCCAGCTTTTAGTTCCGATGGTGTGCAAAATTGAAGAGAGAGAGGGAAGTCCAGCATATCGTACAGATGGTAAAAGTGTCGAGATCCACACCCATCAGTGAGCACTTGGAGGGCCATGGTTTCGATGGATCGAATCATAACTTCACGCAAGGAATCGGAGTTCGCACGCAAAGCATTAACGGCACGTGCGGGCTGATCGGGACATGGAGGCACTCGATGGCTGCTTACCGATCACAGCCTTTGCGACTTTCGCACACACATCACGAGAAAGCTGAGCCTGAACTCGCAGAGGGCTTATCGGGAAGGGTACATGAGAATGGGGCTTGCGCATGTACCACGAGAAGGCTTTTGGTTTGCGTTACACGCAGGACGGAAGAAAGGACGCTTCGGTGCACCTTTCCTCGAAAGACTCGCGGGGGCGAAGGATTTGTTCTGCATCCAATCTCTCGTACTTACTTCCTCACGTTCCCGTTCCTGTGCTCGATCGAGACGAAGCTTCTGTTTCACCACGACAATGATCACATCGTACCGCCCACAGATTACGTCCACGACACAGAACGGCTTTTCGTGTGCCAATCAGTCCGTGAAACATTCTCGCGTTTGCTCCGAGGTTCTAGACCTCGCTTACTGAATCTGGACAGATTCCATGCTTCTGGTGCTGTCCTTTCTTTCTAAACGAGGGCGTTTGACATCTGCAACTGTGGACTGGCACCCTTCGCACTCAACTTGCTCTTGGTGATTTCTGCCTGCATTTGTCCCCTGCGGTCGTCGAGATGATACTCAGAATGGTTCGGTTGCTGAGTTCCTGACTCCGTTGACATTCACATGCGCTGAGTTCGAGAGGAACTTGGGATCCTAAGGCGATCTCCTCATGCAGTCGACGAGCTTCGATTTTGTGTGGAGCATGGATGGATTATGGATGGACTGCATGCGGAGATCACCGAGTCAGTCCTTTCACAAGAACTGCTGTCCATCGACGGACTTTCATCATCTGCACAGGATGAAGGCCCGAGTGGTGTGCTGCATAACCTCGGATTGATAATTGGGAGGTACTGTCAAGGACACTCACGACAATGTTTCTCGAATAAGTCACTTTGGAGGCTCCATCTTCAGACGTGCCAGACACATGCGCGAGGCGTAGAATGTGGATACACGAAGTCTGAACTCTGTCAGAGTATGATGAACCATGTCTTAACTTGCTCATCTGAAGAATCTGCTGCATGAACACATGTGGCTCCATAGACTAGGGCCCGGCTAATGCACCATGAAAGTCCGCCACAAAGACCACTTCTTAGTCACTAATCTGAGTTCTGTTTTTTGAGATGGGACCTGAAGATTTAATTGCATGGATGCATGGAACCTCCACTGTTCCCGAACTGTACTTTGACAGCAGGTCAAGATTTCGAGGGCAGAAAACTCGCTTTGTAGAAGGCCTCTGGAGCAACTTATTTAGAGAAAGTGGTCGAATGTCACATGGTACATATCTAGCCTACCGTAGTGCTCCCAACAGCATGCTCCTCTATGTGGCTCTTTACGTCGACCTGGTAGCTCTCTGTGCTGCACTTGATCCTTGCTAGAAGGAGGAGTTCCCTGCAGACGCATATAATCTTTCTAAGATTTGGAATGAGGTAAAAAGATGTGGCGCTAATCCCACAGTCTGAAAACTCTATGCGAGGGGGTTACTGTACTGAAGCTTAAATACAATGCACTACTCGCAAATGGGGGCAGGTAGTGGCCACGAAAGTGGTGACTCAAGTTACAAACCTCAGATGTTCTGCCTTGACATCAAAGCCGGGGCGCCCGTTTGAGCTCAAAGGTTTCAAAATCTGTAGGCAACCTGGTGATCTCAGCTTAAAGGGGGCTTAATTTTCCTTCATTGACAGTCATTGGCCGTGGGTATGATGTAAGCCCGGCGGGGCATTTAGCTCTTCCGATCACGTGTGTTTTACAGAAGCCGGACCAATCTTACAGACCTCCACACTGAAACCAGCTGACTCGCATGCCTCCATCAGATCCTTCGCTTGCAAGCGACCCTTTGGACAAAAAGCCACCACTGCGCCACCACTGCCAGTGAATTTGCAAGCTGCACCTACACTCCTCGCAGTTTCCACCATTTTGATGTTGATGTCGCCGAGAACATCATCTCCAAAAATTTGCCTGCCATGGCGGACCAAACATCAAACATCGTCTCTCCTAGGCATCTACGGTCTGGAGATTCTACCTCAGGCCTACTTGTCACGTTACAACTGTAGGCCCCAGCAATTAAATCACGTCGAGACTTGTATTGAAGAAAAACAACCATATTCAGTTAGCACTCCATGCGCCAAAATAAAACTACACTGGTTTGGATGTCCTATTCAGAGCTTCAAATCAGTATGAAAAACTGCAGACTCCACAACATTTTAGGGTCGAATGTGTTAGACAAATACCTCCGCAAGTCAAAGTTTCGGTCCATAAGAGTAGCCAAAGATACGTAATCCCGATCTAGAAGAGAAGCACGCCCCTTCTCGGCTACTTGGGCCACATCTGCCATAAGTTCTCGAATACGCTTGTCACCTAACAACCACTTCTTCCTTACATCACTATGAACCTGAATTCCGAGGAAATGGGCCACACCGTTAGAAAAAACACTCAATTAACAGCCAGTCAAATCAGCTACTAGAAGGCAAGTGAAGCTAACAAGAATGGGGCCAATAAGATCGAGACGGCATTGCTCTTGCGTTCTCACAACCATGGATGAAAATTTAGACGCACAGTGAAGTGTATCAAAAGGCTGAAGAATGGGTTTGAAAACGTAATTTTTAGGAGGTCCAGATTCATCTGTTAGTGTAGTTAACTGCTTTGTGTTTGACACCGCGTCAAAACAGTGCATTGGCATAAGATTAGATCCTGGTGTTCGTCGGATTGAGGTGAATGACGGATTTCTTGCTGTGGTCATCTTTCATGGTCCTAAAATGTTCCGGGTGAAAGTTATGGCCCTGCGGATGAGATAAGTTGTACTTCCTGACATGTGTGCGCTGCAGGAAATCTCATTCTTCCAGGAACTCACTTGAAGTCCCTTCCGTGACATAGTTGAACGGAATCAAGGCTGGCAGGCTTTATATCTACAATGCCTCTCAAATCTAGTCCATGTCCCCTCATGGACGCTTCCAGCATCAAATATAGTTATTGCATGTTTCTCATCCACCACAGGCTTCCGTCGTGAGCAATGCTAAGAGAGAGAAACAAAAGAAGTTCAAGCCGGGCCTCAGAAACTGTTACATGGAGAAAGAACAGCGGCTGTGACGTAGCAAGTGGAACAGAGTATGCAGAAAGTCAGAATTCAATACTTGAGAACTGTATGATCTTTGTGCAAAGGAGTAATAGGCGAGTGACACAACTGGTTACTTCCCACATATCAAGCAGCTGAATCTGGTTTTAGGATCTTGCACTATTTCATGACTGTCAGTTGGTCCGATCGGACTGAATATGAGACTTGAACGATGAAATTGAACAACCACTAAAAGTCCAGATGGACAGAGGGGACAGATCACTTCGACTGATAACAATCGAATGTCAACAGTTGGATGAAAGGAGAGAAAAAGAGGACGAAGAGATTTCTCGAGGCACAATCTACTCTGGGAATCAGTAAAAGTGTGCTGTCACCACTCTCCTCTGTACCGTCTCTATGATGCACAAGCTTGCTGTACCATGGTTTCTCATTTGCATGCTTACATTTGAATTGCACTTTGATAAATTAATCTGGTCCATCTGCCAAAGGAGGCACGTCCTGGGAGTAACAGCAGATAAGCAGCCTTTAAGTCAAACAGCACAAGCTACAGGAGATTGGATACAAGCCTTGCCAGAGTCGCTAGGATTCTTGCAGTAAATCAGGTACAAAGGTGGAAGTAGTTCTGGATCCATCGCTGTGTAGATTCCTTTCTTTTGACTCTCCATCGAGGTTTTGTCGAAATCCTGCGAAAGTCCGATCGATCAAGTCAAACCCTCTTCAATGCAGTGAAACAAACTCAAACTAAACCTGCTTATTCAAGACAATGTTCTCCAACTATCTCACCTTCCTTCCACAAACTTTTGAGTCACCAGATGATTGAGTGAACAAGAAAGCCAACAAAGGTAGATCCCTCAAACATATACTGAGGCAGAAACGCACCATGTAAACAAGACCCCCATATACTTGGACTACCCGGTCCTGCAAACCTGCAGTGATGCCGAGCTCTTCCTCGACGCGCAGGATCAAGCTAGGCAGCCCGTCCACTTGCGCCTGCTTCGTTGGAATGTCGAAGTACTCCAGAAGACACTTTAAAGCAGCCCAGACGATTGCGCTAGATCCAGAGAGCCCGGTCTGTACACACACCATTCTTCACTAAGGCATTGAATTGTTGTGGCTGTAAGCTACCGAAGTCCTAGTAGGAACTGCTTAGTTGTTAGCTCGTCATCATTCACATGACAGCCACTCCGCATGAAGTTTGCAAATAAATTACTCTTAACAAATCGTCAACATCTGGCAGTCAAACATGCATTTTCTACGGTGAAATTACAAGGAGCTGATTGTTACAACTCTCACTGTCTTTGAAGAAAGCTCAGTTGAGGACACTCAGTGGAATCATTTAACCAACCACCGACCTGTCTGGGAATGTTGGTGTCATACGACAGGGTGAATCCGCGATCGTGAAGAGAGTTGCCTTTGCCATCCACTGCGTGCTTGAAGACGTCGAAGAAGACCTTGCAGGCAGCCATCAGCAATCGCACTCCTCCATAGTAGCCTTCGCCTCGGATGCGGTCGGCCTACATGCATGCAGGTTCTTCGTTGTGGTGAATGGGGTAAGAAATTAGAAAAGTAAGAAAATTTCTTATCCTACGCAAGGAGATCTCTCGAGTGATCGAAGCACTTCAAGCATTTCATACTTTTTCTCAGGCTGTGCGCGATTGATTTTCGGCTTGTACACAAGATTGTCCGCAATGGTCGACGAGAAATGTGCAACACAGGTAACCTGAACAGGAAACTTCTCAAAGAAACAAGACGCAAAAGGATCTACTGGCTTCAGGTGTGGAAATCTGACTGGGTGGCGTGCCCTGCAAATGTTGAAGGAAATCAATAGTCCAATGCTGGGATGATTGATTTCGAGTGAGCATACGACCTAAAATTCCTGTTCTTTCTCTAGTGAAGCACTGGCCATCAGATCCCAATGGTAAACGGTATTCACAATGTTTGCAGTTCCCGAAAAAGACCATAATCTATCGGGCCCGACCGAGAAGCAACAAAACCAACAGCTAGGCACAGATCGAACCCTGATGGAGGAGCAGGGAGTGATTCGTCCTGATTCTTCAAACACAGGGAGCAGACGGCTGTAAAGAAAACATTCGGTTGCGTGCAACCTTTGCTCGAAGAGAACCGTAGAGAATCCCTAAGTGCAGATATGAAGTGAAGAGTGAGAAATGCGAAGATTGCAGAGCCGCGGCTTGAGAGTCTGTTGCAATTCGATTGGGACAGGAGCTGACACACGCAAATCCACCGGTTTCGATTGACAAAATCAGCTCAGGTAATACTCACCATCTGCTGAAGGGAGCCGAATTCGCAAGGATCGTGCACAGCATGAGGAAGAAAACGAATCGTCGGCGACGGCTCTAGCACCACGGTGGCGTAGAAGTTGGCCAGAGAGAACGAAATCGTTTTGCCGAAATAGGCATCGCTGGGGTTTCCTAAGAATCCAACGCGAGCATATGCCCGCTGCTCTATCCTTCTCGCGCTCTCTGCGTCCATCGTTTCGCTATTTTGAAACCCTCCCGCCTTTCCACCCGACTCGACTGTCAGCACTCTGAGATGTCAACGACGTCCCCGCATTCAGCTCAAGTGGAACGCGACTATTTCGCTCGAAGGCTCCAATACCTCGAGACACTGCAATGTGTCCTTCTAGTCCTGCCCCCCGTCTTCTTCCAGCATGCCGACAGCACGACGCACCTCAACGAGAGCTTGACGCGTAGCATGCGCCGATCGACACTTCTGATCGGCAGCAGAAAAGCCTCCTGACAGTGCACACCATTCGCTCTCGCTCGATGTGATATGCTTTGATTGGCCCGAAGGTGGTCCGTCGTGTGTAATGTGCTGTAGACGATCCACGACCATGCTCGGCTTCTGAAGAGAAAGCAGGTCGAACCGAATGATGTGAACACGTAAGTCATCGACAATCTCCCTTCTCTGTTATTACAAGCACGTAAATCTAATTTCTCTGCTTCTTAAGCTTAATTCTCGTGACGTTCACACTGAACCAACCCCACCTTCGTTTCCATTCATACCCACGGATTCTGCGTTTGAGTATGCGACTGTTTACTTGCCAATCTTCACTTGTGCACAATGCATAAGTTAATGTTTCCAATTTCCTTCCTGCTTCGTGAATTATTTCGGATTTGTTCTCTTCTCTTCAGAGTTCCTCTTCCAATTGTTCTATGAATGTACAGTTTCTGATTAGTGTACATTACTTTACCTCATACCTTTTCGTTCGCGCGAAGTTGTCTTTTTAGTATCATTCTTCTTTTTGCTGACCATCGACTGACAGTAAACGATTCTATGGTTTGCTCTGCTTAGACGGGAACTTAAAGTGCAGATGTTGAAAAGTATTTCAGCGCAAAGATTATTGGGAAAATTCACATCAAATCATTACGATCATTTGGTCGCTGGCTTTTTGTGTTTGGATCAGTTCTCGTGAGAAAGCACAGATTTGGCCAGAGCTCTTGGGGTTCGGGCGGAGGTGTATGGAAGGTAGTTTTGAAGATATACGACATGTAAATTTCAATCTGGTCGGGAGCAAATTCCAACAGAACATTATAGTATACTCTCGTCGTTTTACAAAGATGAAAATCCGACCGACAAGAAGTAGCAGAACGAGCGAAACGAAAGCTGTAGAGCAATTCAGCCAAGAGTGCGGAGTGAAGATGGTACAAGCCCAGACGGTACCAGGGAGAGGAAGGGACATGCACTGGGTACATAAGCATACACATTCACACATTCATCACCAATTTCATCGCTTCTGATTTTAAGCTCCATGATAGATAATGCAAAAGTAATTTTTCACTTATGACCACGACTCGAATTCGTGGCCTTTTTAATTATCAATCGAACTGTACAAAGTAGAGATGAATTTTTCACACTGTGTTCGCAGAAATGCATCGCAATACTTCCTGCCGTCGTCATCGAGGTAGCCACACTGCGATAGATAGATACAGACTCCAGAATCGCCTAAGCATTCACGGGCGTTCCACCTGCAGCAGCACCAATCATAGCAGCACCTCGAGTATGAGTGAAAAGATGCAGCAAAGTTCATGAATTTCGAAGCTGGCAGATTGTGCAGAACTTGCGGATTCATTGATTCAGAGGTGGCATGTCGATTTACCGTTTGGATGCAGCACTTGGCCGGAGAAGTAAGAGCCATCCTCCGATGCTAGGAAGACGTACGAGGTGGCAACCTCGTCGGGCTGCCCTGCGCGACCCATGGGAGTTTTCTCCCCGAACAACTCGACGCTCGTCTCGTCGAACGAAGCGGGAATCAATGGAGTCCAGATTGGCCCCGGTGCAACACCTGCAGTAGTGCGGTCGCAAGGAGTACATTGTCAGAAAGAACGTCCGGCTATGGAAATTGTGAAACGAAACGTGGATGCCATGCCATGCCGATCAATCGATCGGAATGGACTGCTGCCTCACCGTTGACGCGGATCTTTCGTGGAGCGAGATGAAGGGCCAATGCTCGAGTGAAGGCGACGATCGCCCCCTTGGTGGTCGTGTAGTCGATCAACGTGGAGTTTCCCTTGTACGCATTGATGGAAGTTGTGTTGATAATGTTACAGCCTTCGGACATGTGCTTCAGAGCGTGGCTGCACACATTTCACAGCAGCAAATTATGTCAGTCGGCATTTCAGCCATCTACTCAGAAACAGAGCTCGAAGTCTACCGCAGAGCGAGGACGGTGGTCGACTGCAAGCGACACGAGGAACGAGTTTTCGCAATGTTGCCGTTCGGTGCCTCACCGAGCCATGAACATGTAGGAAAATATGTTGGTGCGGAAGGTGCGCTCCACTTGGCTGGGATCGATGTCCTCGAAATTCTCACACATGTGCTGCTCGGCGCAGTTGTTGACTAATATATCGATCTTGCCATACGTCTTGACGACTTGGTCCACGACCTGACAAGCCGACGAGAGGGGCCAGACAGAAGCAAGCGTCAGTCACAAGATCGCAGAGACTGTCGACGATCGATTGGACAGAATATTTTTGCCTCGTCCTCACGGCGGCGGCTGCTGCAGACATTGCTTACCTTCTTGCAGTTGTCATCGAACCCGAGGTCCATGGCGATTTTAAGCGGATCTTTCGCATCGGAGCATTTATTCTTCTTGATTATGTCGACGGTGTCCTCGGCGTCCTTCTCCTCGTCGCCCGGCACGTAAGTGAAGGCCACGGTTGCGCCCTCGATCGAGAACAGATATGCCACCGCTCTGCCGATTCCCGAGTCTCCGCCGGTGATCAGAGCCACTTTTCCCTGCGGGTCCACGAACAAAAAGGGTCATAATAATTCGGCAATTCTGCACCCTCAATCGCTCCATCACCATCACCATCACCATCGTCGCACGAGAAGCGAAGCTCCCCGTCGACATGCAGCAGCAGCAGTAGCAGACGGTACCTTGAGCTTGTTAGCGCCCTGGTAAGGGCGGAGTCGGGGAGCAGGGTCCATCTCGTGCTCCTTGCCGGGTTGCGAAGTCTGAGTCTGGGTAGGGAACTGCTTGCCATTGTAAGCCATGGCTCTAATTCTACGGCGGCTGCTGCCGAGAACGAGACCTGCGTTCGGAATCGTCTGAATCACAATCCTGCTCCCCCCACGAAAACTGCACAATCCTCGGGACAAATTCCCACAGCTGATCGCAGCAGCGGATGATCGAGCTGGTGCGTGAAGAAGCGGCTTCAATCGGCTTGCGACAACCAGTCGAACCATAGATTGCAGCTCGAATTTCGACCTGTGCGATGAGAGATGATGCAATGCGCCGCTCTCTGCGTTTCCTCGTCCTTGGCCATGCACCGCTCTTCCATCCTTATATCGTGAAGACTTGCCCCGCGAACGTGGTCACCGGTCTCGCCCGCGGTTGCAGTCGGTGGGAGCGCAGTCGGTGATGCAGTCGAGCCGATCTCTCAGATCTCTCTAGTTTGCTTGCGAGTCTGCCCGCCAACGCCAACGGCGTACCGAGTGAGGACCGGAGCAGCGGGTCGTGGTGGGCGGGTAGCCGGTGGCAGCAGCTGACACACGTCGAGGAGAGTGCGAGCATGGCATGGCAGCTCTGCATGGCACCAAATGGTTGCATTTTGTGGCACCTCGAATCGGCGCTGCCACTTGTAGAAGTCGCGTGCTTCTGGTGGTTCGCGTTTCCAACCGTCTTGGCCTCTGCTCGTTTGCCTCTCGTACTTCCTGGCCACGTTTCCAGCAGCGAATTCTATGCAGGCTCAAGCACAATCTCCCCCCCCCCTTCCCCCTCCTCCTCCTCCTTCGACATCGACAACCTTTCCAGAGTGTTTCTGCTATCGAGTGAGCTCAGTTCAATTCAGCTCAGCTCAGCTCAGCTCCAGCTTAACGGAGCCGAGATCAACAGGACCAGCTCAATCTTTTAAGACTGGCGCAGTGTTAATTTTGCAGCATGCCGATAGAGGACAATGAATGAACTGGAGAGCTAAATCGGAAGAAAAGCACCGCCGAGGAGCTGGTCAGTGGGGGATAGTAAGTAGACAGTAAGCTTCATGAACCAGATGATTCAATACTAGATGATCAATGGTCTATGGTCTATGGAGATCTATGGTATACGTGTTCTACATCTGAATCACGGTCCTCATCCTGAATTCCATCGCAAAATTTCGTCCTGTTTACATTTGGATCTACACCGATACTAAACTAGAAGAAGCTCTTTCTGCTCAGCAAGCGCTCGACAGCTGAACTTTGGCTGCTGCTGCTTCGTGTCCACATTCGCTCTCATATTGTGTACGACTTGTGCGTATGTTTTCTATTCCAATGAATTAGTTTTGAAATTATGTCAAATTTATTTCATCCCTTCTAAGTTGCAGTTGTAAAACTGGGATGAATTTTAGTAACCAAATGTGCTGATTTGATTTCAACGTAAAAAACAGAAGGCTTCAAGATTTTGTGATATTGGAATGATATCACATCAGGGAAAAAAATATGGTTAACTTTTGAAAAAGAAAAAATATTTTGAATCTGCGCGAGTGGTAGTACACTCGGCCCATGTGCTATTTTTCGATGTTATACGAGAATCATGAGTAAATTGGTGTTTCTCATCATATCAATGTTGATGTGTGAGCCAAAGTATCACACATTAATATTTCAAATCTTTGTCTATTCTTAGTTATTTTTCTTTCTTTGGCTTGCAGATATATTTATGAGTTTAAGAGACATATATATCATAGGAATGAAATGAGCCAACAAAGTTTAAGCATTAGCATCAAAATAAACGAGTTTTTTTCAATGATGTGTTTGATTTGAAAAAATGATACTCCTCATTATGAAATAAAATTCACGTTTTAAATATTTTTTTGCTTCTAAATTCTGAATTATTAATTATTTTATAGCCAAAATTATGTATTTATCAAGTATAGGGTTTAGGGGCATTTGATGTATTCGATATCAAATAACAAATATCAATAAGCAATCAATCCTTAACCAATCATGTAAATATCAATAAGAATGTGGTTGTGTGCAAGGTTTACTTCCTTTCAGTTTAACATATACAAACCCACTTTTATAAATTTTATATCTTTAAACAAATAAATTCTCTAACCGAAAAATTTGGAATAAATTGATGATCATGTATCATTTAATGCTTGAAAAAAATATTTAATTTTTTTCATTTAATATTGTAACTTTGAAAAAATGAAATGATCCTTTGATTTATGAAATCGATTAAATAATATGTTTCCTTTCCAACAAAAAATGATAGCCAATTTCTCTATATTTTTCAAACTATTTAGACAAAAAATTTGTTAAATTTTGTCACATTTAGGAAACATGTTTTATTGATGCAATATTGTCTTCAACAGTAGTCTTTTCATGATCAGTATAGACATCCATCTGTCACAAAGTTTTTTCAGGTCTTCAAATTGTTCCTCGTAATGTTATCATAATCATTCTATATGTATAACTGTGTGAAGCATCGATATGTTTTAAGTTGTGTGGATTTCAAAGTATTCAAAGCAACTCTCATATCATCTTTTATACCTACCCTATACGATATGGTACTCGACATGTAGAGACTTTTAAAATTTCAGTTCTAGGATTTATTATTGGATGCTAAGCAGAGTTAAATTGTGAAACATATTAGTGATTTATTAAGTTACATGAATATAGCACTGAAAATTTTTAAATGTGATGACTCCGAAGTGTTTCGGATCTTGATCAATTATTGGCATTGATTTGTCACGATCTTGCAATTTTCTCTCAGAGTATCGATTGTGGACAGATTTACGACTTACGAATTGCAGTGCGAGGGACGGGTCCTCAGATCGAGCCCTACCTCGATCGAAGCTCATGACGAACAATGTCGAATTTTGGTTTAGAACGATTTTGTTTGAAAGGGAGTCGGGCGGAGATGCATCACCAGCTTCATCATCGACGCTGAATGTCGGGCAGTCGGAGGTATCGAGTTGTCGAGGAATTTCAGCGCGCCGAAGCGATTCGATGGTGGCCCGTGTCTGACGCACTGCGAGCCTCGTCGTCGATGTCTTTGGGTCCTTCGAATTGCGACCTCGCGCTTTCGATTGTCGGCTCCGGACGAGCCCCAGCGATGGCCATCGATCGTCGTGGTGTTCCTGCGCTGGAACATGGGGCACTGAATTAGCAGGAGCCGCCTGCAGTCGCATGGCGAGTATGGAGCAGGCGAGCCGAAAGCGTTGCGAAGCAGGGGGTGAGGCGAAAGATTGGGGGACGATGATTGCGGATGTCGTGATGGCCAAGTACCGAAGTCTGCCGAAGAAGGGCAAGCCTCAGGGCGTCGAAGCCACTGTTTTAGCAGCTTTTGTTCTCACTCCAGGTGCGAGGTCTTGTGTAAACTTCCTCAATTGTGGGAGCTTATTCTTCTTCTACGTGAATTTTTTTATTATGATCATCATTATCAATTTGCGAGCTATTCCTGTGTCTCCCCACTGCCACCGGCACCCTGCAAATCCATCGTTCGAGGTTCTGGGTTTACGTGAGAACGACATTGTTCGCTTCATATTTTGTATTGTCACAGGTTTGAAGGTCATCGCGATGGGCACTGGAACGAAGTGCATCGGGCGATCTAAAATGAGCTCTGCGGGAGACCTTGTGAATGATTCCCACGCCGAAGTGATTGCTCGGCGAGCCCTTCTCAGGTGAGGTCTCGTTGCGTGGACTTATAGAAATGACAATGTGAGTATTTCATCGTAGTCAGCTGAATTGTTTCGTGATGTCATGCGTTGTTTGCGAAAGGAGGTCAACATCATTTAGATCTTCACAAACGATCTTGATATTCGTCATTCTTTTTGTAGAGTGTCGGGCTGTGATCAGCCTCAATGTCATTAGCTATCATTCATTCATAATGCTCACATGGTGGTTGAAAATTGTCCACTTTCGTGTAATGTAAAGCTTGTCCACCAATTGACCGGCCTAACGATCGGTTCCTTTTGCGTTTCGTAAAGGTTTTTCTACTCTCAGTTGGAGGAAATCTGTAAAAGCACAGTTAAGGTCAATACAGCGAAATCTGGAAGTGATAGTGCAGCTACAGAAGTAAACAAGCTGGACCCAATCTTTGAATGTGTACCGGATATACAAGGCAACCGACAATTCCAACTTCGGGAGGGTCTCCAAATTCATCTCTATATTAGCCAGTGCCCCTGTAAGTACCCTGCGCAAGCAGAAATACAGGACAGGTTTATATAGAAAAAAAAAATATTTTTTTTCTTACATGCAAGGCATAAAAATGGTGCACATGGTGTAATATTAACCCGCACCCTTACTGATGGATCTGGAAGTCATGTCGCGTCTGTTACAGATTGGAAAGTTCCTTTTCTCAAAATCCGTCAAAGTCCTTTCTTAGTGTGAAAGCTACATTCTTTCTCAGGATCACAAGACTCTTACTGGATTGAAGAGCTGGACTTTCGACATGCTTAATACGTGATGGATATCCATCAAGTCAACTTGGTCTACTCTAGTTTCACCTGCGTACCTTGAGCCAAAACCTCCTGACAGCTGAATCTCTAATGTGTGAACCGCTCTTAGTAGCTTTTCATTCTATAATGATTCTCCGTGGAAAAAGTGGAAATGTTATTTTGCAGGTGGAGATGCGTGCATTTTGCCTTTTCCTCATGATACCATGGACGAAGATTGTGTAGTTCCTGGTGTCAATGAGGGTTCGTGCCCTCAAGACCCGGATGGTGGCGCCACGTCTTCTTCTCTGAAATTCTTGAAGCACACGGGTGCAAAGCTTGCGAAGGTAGAAATAGGGGCTACAAGAGTAGATGCCATAGCTGCAGAGCGTCAGGCAAGGCTTAATCATGCAGATCGAAGTTTTATACAAAATGAGCTCGAACAAGGGGAACTAAAACACGAAAATGCCATATTTACGGCTGATCGCTTGAATGCTCCTGAGAGGAGCTATCCGGATAAGCACTTAGAGGAAATGGAGACACAAGCGGCTGGGATGGTGAGGAGGAAACCAGGCAGAGGAGATGCGACTCTCTCTATGAGCTGCAGTGATAAAATTGCCCGCTGGAATCTCCTAGGACTACAAGGTCATTCATTACTTGTCAATGACATCCTACAATTGCATTACGTTTTCTGTCATTCTGGCCTCGTGCTTATAAAAGTTAATGCTCCGTCCCGCATATTTGGATTATTTCCATCTCTTTTACTCCCTACGATGAAGTCCGGAAGAAGGAATATCCATGGACCTCTCAACTAGTCTCTCATGTTGGGCATGTAGGTGCTCTACTATCCCATTTTATCTCGCAGCCAGTTTACCTATCGTCCATAGTAGTCGGTGACAGCGAGCACAAACCCAAGGTTACAGATATCAGTGAAACTGTTGGTATTCGACAAGCGGGACCTGTAATAAATCAAGAGGCTATGAATCTGACTAAATGGAGCAGTTTTGAATCACTACAAAGAGCGCTTTACAAGCGTCTGCTTCCACTAAGAGATATACTACCATCCCCGTTCAAGTTGAATGAGGTCAGTCGTCATGTAATAACTTCAAAACCAGTGTTCATCTCTTCTTCTGTGTGTTTTATATTTGATCCGAAGTTCTAAGTTTTACCGTGGACAACTATCTCAGCCTTTGTTATGGAGAGCGCCCAAACCCCCGAGGGAGTTGAATCCTCCTGTTAACGGTTCCACAATGCCCACATGCGGGTGAGTGAAACACTCTTCCTACCACCAATTCATAGCTTGTTCTGGTAGTAATTTAGGATATTCCTGTGAGATTGTGCTGTGAGTGGCAATCACGAGGTCGACCCCTTGGTAGATTCAAAAGGATACTCAAATCTCCTATCATGTGACAAGAACGCAGAGCCGGATGTAGACTTCTACAAGGCACAAGGCTTTAGTGTGCTTCAGGTCTAGTCCGTCCTTCAGCTTGTACGTGTTGAGTCTGGCATACGTGTATGTTTCTTCACCATTTAGCGCGACAAGTACACGCAGAAAATTGTTGTCTTTCCCTGCAATCCATCTGAAGAAGCGCACTGGGCATGTGTCAGGTATTCTGTCAGTTGGGACGCATCCAATGTACACGAAGTAGTCCTCGGGACAACAGGAAGAAAGCAGGGGACTTCTGCCAAAGGGGCTCTTTCCGCAGCCACGCGGTCTTCTCTTTGCAAGTGTGATTCTCAGTTTCTCCGTTGAATCCTGTTTGACCTCACTCAGTTAAAGACTTCGTGTACGGCCTTGCATTTATTGTGTCTAAGCCACCGAGCGATGGTTTCAAACCAGATGCTGACCAAGACCTTGCAGGCGCTAGGCGAGTCCTTAAGAAATGCAGTTGCTTGCAGCGTCATGCCAGTGCAGATTGTCTGTGCCACGAAAGGTCTAGTTTCCTTCAGTAGAATACAGAATGTGTGGTTCGTCGTGGATGTCTTCAAAGTGTTCAAATCAGTGTAAAGAACTTGTATGTTGTTATTTGCGGGTGCGAAAAATGGGTTGTCTGTTAGCCTATCTTAGTTTCAGTCCGTGACCTGCTTGCATGAAATGCAATATGAGATCATGTGGAATAGTAACTGTCATTGTTTCCAATGACAGGAGAGCGTTGGCGGACAGGTTCTTGTCATTGATTCCCAGTCTTCCGTGGCTGTCGGGAGCGTCAGAGATGACTTATCTTCAAATTAAGGTAAGGACTTCTTTTTCCGGGTTCGTTAAGTCGTAATTATTCTTGCACTTTTTGTTTGCAACCATCAGTTTCATGTGGACTTCCCTCCTTTTGCAGGGTGCATCGACGCAGTACCAAGCAGCAAGGGCAGTTTGTTTTACGAGCACCTCTTCTCCTCTTCATGATTGGCTTGTAAAACCATCATCTCTACAGGAATTTCGGTTATTGCCGAACTAGTGAGTCTTGATATGAGTATATTTCGAAGATAGGAAGAGCAACTGTTGCCAAGTGGAACACGAACAAGATGCTGCTTGTCCATGTCTTCTTACAGTCATCGGGATTACTACTGGCAGTTCATGAGAACTGCAGGAGTTGTAGAGAGGAACATAGAATTATGAACAGAGAAGTCGTCATCATCATGAGGCCGAAAGCAGTGATTTCGTGTTTCTGTTTCGAACTATATACCAGAACGTTTACTTGTATATCTTCAATATACAAGGTATCTGAAATCATTCCAGTTCATTTAGTGTCGAAGATTTGCAAGGCTTTATCCTAGAGCTAGTTTTTAAGACATAGCAATGTATTGCACCAATCATGAGGATATTTTTATTGATCTAATAGACATTTTGTAAATTTTTAAAGGCTTTAAACTTTTGGACACGGAAAGGACAGTATATCTTTCCAAGAAATTTGATTTTCAAATGTGTTTACATTTAAACTCTCATTTGCATATTTGTATAGGAAAGATGTCCAAAAATATCTCAAACAGTGTCATTTTCAAATATTTCAAATAGAAACATTTCAAATATATACAATCAATATATCTACATATAAACTAAACTCCTTGTAAACTAAAAAATTTATGCACTTTATCGAGTTCTCTTTATTTAATAAGCCAGCGACAGTTTTATCATGTGTTCTTTCAACCTCCAAAGAACAATAGAATTTTTCATTCTCTCGGATGCAAAAAAATTGTACTAATTGGAGATAAGACTAACTGGCAGCCAATCTGGCAGGAATAGTATCAGACGAAAACTCTAGCCTCTGTTCTCGTTATGACACCTGGATCTTAAATGTTTGACTGCAACAGATATAATAGTCAGTTTCAGGAGCTACTACAAGCCTACAAGCTGGGACTGAACCAGACATAACACAGAAATTACTGTTAAAACACACACAATATTACCCGACTTCAATCAAGATATTCCTGTGCCCATCAATCAAGGGGTAGGTCCAGAAAATATCAAGGGAATTGGAATATAAGAAATGATTCGCTCAACATTGCAGGAAATTATTGAATAGGACCTAGCATAAAGATCGAGTTCCACCGTCTCAAACCTCACCAGGAACGTATGGAAAATATTTCTTAGAGCAATAATGCTATACACGTGTCTTCGTCATGATCTTTTTTTTTTCGAAGAGAAAATGTTATCATGATCGCTTCTTGAGAATAAGGCAATCAAAGTATGGCCTTATGTATTGCTTGTATAGCCTTCTGGTGAAGACACATATGCTTTGTGGTACATGTCAATATAATGGAGGTATCGAAATCATGCTGGTGTGTGTTGCATCCATCGACTCTCATTGGAATCGCCCAGCAGACAATGAAAAGTTTATATAGATGAAAAGTAAATCTATATAATACGGTTCAGCTATTCATTACTTAGTATAAATTGGTTCAGATTCTTCAGCAGAGATTACCTATTCCAACTGAATTCGCTTTGGCTATGATCTTAAAAGCAAACCAACAGTTCCTTCATGTTACAGTAACTTCAAATACGTTGTGGTGCAAGATTTTCCTTCCAAACTGGAACTCCCATTAGCAATTGATAAAAATCAATTTGTTGTTTTGTATTGGCATCTTATATTTGTAATACTGTTTTCTACACTATTTGCAATACTTTGTAACTTTCTAGAGTTCATTAAAGTTTCATATACGCTAATAAGAGTATATAAGATAACGAGAGGCAGATTGATGTATATAATCAAGAATAAAGATATTTGTTACTAGAAAAGGAAGAGAGCGGTACTTATTGATTGGTTTTATTGTAATATACTTATGTAATTTTACCTACATTACATGTGATACTTCTTTCATGGTGGATATTTCCAATTTCTTTTATCCAGATTTTTTGCTACAAGAGTAGTAAAGTCCTTCTGTTATTATCAACCAATCAAACCTCACTCAAATCTCTTATTCAAGGACTATTCGTGCTCTTAAGTTTTATTTTATTAGAAACAGATTATTTTCCAATTCGAATAACGGAATTAAGTTAAGAACGTCTCCGTAGGTAAGGAGTAAGCAAAGATTTGCTTCGTCATTAAATATGTACAAATTAAAAATGATTATGATCCCAATAGTTGTATCCTTACTTACATCAGATCTTTTTGTTAGTGTATTCTACGCTAGTGTACAGTATTTACGAAAAGTGAATGTACAAACAGGAGTTGCTTGAATATCGGAAAACATCATCACTTCAATACTGTACCCGAAGTGCATACGCAACGGCTTGCATGAAATAAGACGAAATGCAAGCAAAGCTATTATTTAGAACCTACTGTGACAAGACTTGCTTTTGTAGTCAACTAATTGGAAAGAAAAGTCTCAATGAAATCTTCTTATACAGAAGTCTGATCATTACTCATCCTAAGCCATATATCCTAAAATTCACCTCTGCTTTTCATTATCTTGCCGAAAAGATCATTCTCGTACTGTAAGAAATGGTCAAAGAGTTATTCAAATTGTAACAAATTACGAACAAATTGCTCACAAAAAATGACTTCATCTTGATGTACCCAGTCGATCTGGATGATCGGTGAGTTGATCGGTCCATGTTTGCCATCTTATATTCCTCCATCCCCCACCAACATGTGATGGCACGGGGGCATACCACGTTATTTGAAGTCTCAATCACTGGGATTGTGCATCACTCGCCGCAAGAAATGCTGACGTTCAGTTTCCTGCTTGAATATTCGTTTCCTCAGCCGATGCGTCCACTTTTGGCTATGAGATTTATACACACTGAACTTCAGCTTTCCTCCACCAGGCTATTGACGAAATCTCTACAGACGGACTCGAGAGACTGATATGATACATTTCGTGAGTAAGGTGGCCAGTCAGTTCAGATTTTAAAAAAATATCTTTTCAAAAGAAACTGCTGTTTACAGTGGTGATGCTCTCAAGATCCTATCACCAAAACTCTTCTGGTCATCAAACCCTTTCCCTATTTCCCGACCCTTGTGCGCAATCGCAAACCAGCGGCAATTAGTGGAATGACAACAATAATATACAACAAAATCTTCGATCCCGATACTGCTGACAGGCACACCAACACAGACATTGGAACCTCTGAACTTTCGGAGTTCTGAGTGCAGAATCCTCATCTCTTGTCTCGTCTCGTCTCCTCCATGAGGCGGTCACCTTGGACCAACACGTAAATGCGCGAAGTTCGAAATCGCAGCGATGCGCTCAGTCGGATTACTATGATCTTGGCACTGGAAGTCTTTTAAGTGTACATCAATTTCCGCGTGGCCAGAGTCTCCCCGGTTCGAGCCAACTCCGCAATCTCGTGGACAATTTTGAAAACGGCGTCGGGTCTACCAAGTTTTTTGGCGTTCGAAGCCATCCTTTCCAGCTCCGCCGCCTTTGATCCAAACCAATCAGCTACAAGTCCAGCAATTTCTTTGGGTTTGTCGCAGTACTTTCCTGCGCCGTTATCTACAACGAAGGACACATTTCCCACTTCCTGCAAAACGAATTGCTTCCTTCATTAGAGGTAGTACTTTTGGCTTCGCCATCCATCCTGATATCTGTCAAGATCTTCTAAAACGCATCAAATATGACTAGCACCCACAATTCGGTGACAACTCGTAAGTGTCATTAATTTGAACTCAACTGGCCATATTACACCATGTTTTTTGAACGAAAGAAAAGCTCCAATCTTACCTGGCCAGCAATGTAGCTGTTTAATACCATTGGCAAGCCACGAATTGTAGCCTCAGCGATAGTTCCGGGACCAGCCTGCAGTCCACGAATAAGATCCTCAGCACTATGACAACCACAGTCAAGGTACCAAGCTGGTCTCGTGGATATGACATCCGTACAAATGTTTCAAAAGTGTAGAGACGACCGGAAGGGTCAGCATAGACGCAATCAACACGAAACCGACAACTTTTAAGAGGCCATTTCACCTAGTGCTGTAAGCAGATACATCGAAACGTGGAGTCATTGTATCACAGACAGACTCACCTTGCTTATAACACAATCTGAAGCAGCCATCCACTCTACCATGTTGGTGACAAAGCCTTCGATCTGAGCAACGCAGACAAGAGGTAATCATTCAATTAAATTTCCAGATCCTACAAGAACATGAGAAACTGAAGACCGTCACATTTCACATTTCGACGACAAAACTTGCACCTTCAATGGACTTTGCTGTGTACGGGGATACATTACAAGAACAAAGAGTGGATGAGAGAGAGTCGGCTGGCTGACGACACAGAGAAAAGTATACCTTCACGGGACACTTCCAATCCAAGGATTCCAACGTTTTGACCAACTTCTTGTTACGCCCACAAATCACTACAAGTTGGCCAACGGGCTTTCGCTTATTATTATCATATAAAGAATCACAAAGTGCGCGGGCTGTAGATTCTACAGGACCCATTCCTTCCCCTCCTCCCATTAAAAGGACGGCTGGGAGCTCTTCATTCATTCCAAGATCTCTACGCAACTCAACCTGAACACAGCCAACAGATATTGTGAGTTTACTTGAGCTTCCATTCCGAAGACCATGATCACAACTTTCATTAACTCAAGATAATGAAGCAGGCAACTTGGAGCAAGAAACTAGTTTAAGCAAGAGACGTTCTCTGGCACAGTAAATATAGATATAAATCCATGAGCCTGTCAAAATAACATGTAAGTCTCTCCATTGAAATCAAAAATCACCTTTGGTTTCGTTGGTTTGCCAAATCCAGGTCTGATAGGTAAGCCATGGACTCGTAGTTGTGAAGGAAGAAGACCGGCTTTCAGGGCCCTCTGCTCGACATCTTTTGTTGGGCAGAAGCACTTAGTCACAGACCTATGAAACCTGAAGCACAACGTTCACAAAGGTCCTTCGAGTTGAGAAAACGTTCCTTGACCAAAGTTGTCTGTTGTTACAGGCTAGCAATAGTGAGGACTGACAACAACACAGATACACAATATCGATGCCTTTGAAAGTATCTGGCCATATCGTGCAGAACATTATACAAGTTGTTTTCATGGACCAACATACCATGTTGGATGGCATGTGCTGAGATCGGTAATAACAGTAGTGAAAGGGATCTTGTTGAGAAGCCCGCGTGCCCTCAGGACCCGGATAGGCACGTGTTGCATTAAAGGATGTACGCTAATAATCACATCGGGTTGGTACTTCAGCAGACCCTTCGCCACCTCTCTGCCTTCCCGTCATCATAACCACAGATTCATGGAGACGGTTAATACGAAAACGTCGCCTTGCATCAATCCAGCTGTACGTCAAGTTTTAAAATCAAATTATCTGTTCGACTGCTTGTCACCAGACACCTCAGGTCTTTGATAGGACAAAAAAGTGTGCAAGACTACATGGACTTGTGGGTGTGTCCATTTGTTACTGAGACTTAAAGCCTGTCTTGAAAATACTGACAAATAAGATACGCGAAACTGAGTTCAATATAGAACTCCTGACACCCTACTCAGTTCTTGTCAAAGACTGACAGACCATGGAGACCAATCTAGACTTTAGAGCACAATACGGTTGTCCGTTGCTGATTAGACGTTGTGTTAGAGTGGCGGTTAACAAGGTTAGCTTTAACAATACATCATTCTAAGACGACAAAATCTGGTTAATGAAAAATAAAAAAGAATTGTAGCCAATTCTGTTCGCGTCATCATGCTAATGTCACAAATCCTTCTAAGTAGTGCACTGACTTCATCGCTTTATCGAACACTGCGGCTCAACCTCCTACCTCAGAAAAAATGACTGGGTTAAGCTGGAATGTTCGGTACCTATATTCATCACCAAATAATACATATCTAAACAGTAGTTGAGGTGTACAACAGAAATACAACATGTATTGATGCCAAGCATTACCCCTGGACCTTTTAGCCGTTGAACGTGACTAAGAAATTGAAGGGGAGTACTTTTTGACATGTCACAACCAGTCCCGTCATACTTGACCTTCTCTCCTTGGAACAAGACCTGTACTCCAAGATCCACAATATTAAAGAGAACATACCCTTGCACAAGTATATGTCAAATAGAAGCCCGTCAAGAGTAGTACCGGGCGATGAAAGTTGAGGTTGCAGCCATCTGAGATTGATGAATGAAGCGTGGCGCAGTAGTGTGGTAAGCCAGCTTCCAAAGTGTCTCATGTTTCACCATGAAACTGTAAGTTTTGGGAACTTGGTTGAACGGCCAAGGAGTGTGTTCTTTCCACAAATCACAGACAGTAACCTGGAAAACAAACACCGAACCCAAGATGTCCTCATCAATGAAGAAAAATGGAGGTGCAACTGATACAAACAAGGTGTATTTTCAGTGATATCTTCATGCAAAAGAGCAGCACCAACCGTATTGACATGCCAGGCACCGAAGAGATGGTTGTGTGATTGGAATCTGTCTCAATGAGTGGTTCTTTTAACCAAAAGATGAAGGCGCAAACACTCACTTCGAATTCTTCTCCAAATTCGAGCTCAAATGTGGCCTTCAATGCTTCCGCGGATGCCCGGTGTCCACCACCAGTATCACTCATTAATATAAGAACTTTCTTCGGACGACCCGGATCGAGCTGCGGATTCTTATCGTCATCAGAAATGGCCTCAAAAGCTTTGTGATCCTGCACCCTACTAATGTCGTCTCTTCCCAGCAAAGCTCCACCAAAAGGTACTCCACCCAACGGTACCCTCTCTGTTCCTTTCCTGATTAATCTGTTCAAAGTTTCTACAAGTTTAGCTTGCTTGCGAGGTAAACACGCCACTGTCAGAGATGCAAAACTCTGACCATCCTGAGTCTTCCACACCTGGTCCTGCTTTTTTAGTGCCCTCCGAACATTTAGCTCAACCCTGTTGCTTTGATGTACGTATCCCTGCATCAATCAGAAACCGATGCCTCAGTACCAGCCATGTACCACTTCTCGCGCAAAATGTTATTGGTATGTTATGGCTGCATTCACTTCTCACGGAACCGAACGGGAGGAGAACGCATGGCCATGACAAGCATAACCATCACTGCACGTTCAAAGAAAAGGCATTGGTTTCTGAGAGACAAGTCTTCAACAAGCATAACAACAACTCAAGATGAAATTTGCAACTGAATATGGAATCCACTTTGAGCTGTGAAATAACTCATGCTACTCCGAGCTTTTTACTTTGTAAAGTAAAATGTGGGCAGTCGCTCTAATCTGAGCTAGAAATTGTTCCGAATTTAATATGCATGTTTGACTTTAAAGTGTATCATCAAGATCCACCGACAGGGCCTCCTGAAATCCTTGCGAGAGGAAATACGACGAGCAAGATCATTCAAGGGACTGCTTGACCATTTAGAAGCCGAATTCAAATGATGCAAACTGAAGAAACCTTTGGCCACAAATCCGGATTTTGCATTTCATATCCCTTCAATTAGAAATTGCAGTTCCAAAATCCTAAGATTCAAATAAATGTGAACGAGATGTGTCGATATCCATTGCTCCGATAGCCAGCGAGCGACCATCTGATACAAAGCCACAAAAGCCAAAACTAATCGCCAGAATCGAACTCACATCATCGTAGGCAGAGAAAGTAGGTTTCGCATTGTCGAGTTTACAGCCGGATGATGCAATTCCCGGGTGTCCGAATGCGCTGGCGCTCTGCGCGGAGGAAGTTCCCATGGATAAGAAATCAACACACGAGCAATCTGCTGCTGCTGCCCCCGCCCCGGTTCCCGCTGCGTGTCTCACAGTGCTCACCACCGAGCCGGTGGCCATGGGACCATGGGAGCTTCAGTGAATTCACCGTGAGGCGGTCTGGCCAGCCAGCGCGCAAGACGAATAGCACAAGGCAACACAAAGCAACGAGCCAAGGCGCAGCTTCTGGGTCTGCAATGGGCGTCGATGAGGTCGGCGCTCAAAGGCCCGCTAGCACCTGGCTCCTCCTTCCATAGAGCCGGGGCATATCACGTCATGGCTGGCTGGCGCAGTGATGCTCGAATCCCAGATAGAGGCTGGCGCCAGATGTTCCAGAGCGAGCGAGGGCGCGAGGGCGCGAGAGAGACACCGACACAGAGAGAAAGAGTGCGTATCCATCCGATCAAGATGGCGATGGCGGACTTGCACGGGTCGAGGGCCCTCGATCCTGCAGATTTGCCATCCCTGTTCGATTCGAGTGGGGTCCACGAAGTCCTTGTCTCCGCTCATCGATTCCATCCACGGATGTCGACTGCACGTGTCGCGCCTGCCATCTCCGCCCGATCGCTTCGCTGTCCGTTACGGCGAATCATTGGGCATTAAGCCCTTGCGAAGACAGAGTGCATCGTTCGCCGCGCGTCCATCTCCATCTCTTCCGTCCCTCTCCCTCTCCCTCTTCCTTTCTTGACCGATTTTGTGCAGCTTGCGGCACCACATCGAGGCCCGAGGCCCGCCCGCCCGCCCGACTGCCGATTTCAGCGCACCCAAGTGCTGCGCCGAAAGGACAGTGCGTGCTGCACATTTTTCATATGCCTGCTGCTGCTGCACTCGAAGGATGGCCATGGCCGATCGCAGCACGCACGTCAAAGTCCTGCGTTGAAAGGACGGCGCGTGCTAAATAATTTGCATTCGCCTGTGTCCGATCTGGAGCCTCCGGCACTCGAGACAACGGACATGCCGACGCTTTTTGCGGTTTGCGCTCCGGGGCGGGCCATTTGGTTGCAATAATTCACGTTGCTCGATAAATCACTGGACCTCTATGCTCTTGGTAGTTCCATGTGTCTCCCTTTTTCTTGTAAAATTCTCACACGATGTTCGATTTCGCTGATTATTTGGTTGCCGTCAAGGCTTTTGATGACTTCCATGCTCATGTAATAGACTCGTGCTATTCCTCTTGGGAGACTTGTCTGGCTTTCTCATACCAAATGAAAGAGGCCTGGTCGATGCTCACATTTATCGATAAAGACTATCATTATCCCGATAATACGCGAAGTAAACCCTTGCCCGCGTCAAAGTAAAATGATTTCTTTTCTTGTAGTATCAGGATGTTTTGTATCTCAGAACACTAAATTGATTTAAATAAACAAAAAGGTTTTACATAACCTCCTAGTATATCCATCTTATAGTGATGAAAATCGTAGGTAAAGTAATGTCTCCTCCTCGTATTTGTATGAGCAGATTTCGTATAAATATATTTGTATATGTTTGTATGTTTTGTAATATGATACATTCTTCTACCTTCTCCATAAAACCCCACTATCGAATCATACCAAAAACATTTCATTGATCACTCACATACAACTTCCATACTAGTGCTTCCATCTTATTCTTGGCATTCTTGCTTGGAGTTTCAAATGTTCATCTTAACATCTAAAGCTTTTGAAATAATCCACATAATTTCAGATATATTCCAATTCAAGATAATTAATATAGTCAACATCTCATTAAAGCCATCCACATTCATATTGCAAAGAATTGAAGCTATACTAAAAACAAATTGATAACTTCAATCATTTCACTGCAATAGCATATACATTTATTAAATATCACAGTAAATACACCAACACAAATGAACTGCAGTAAAATTTCACACAATAAAAAAGATTCTTTCAAACAATTTCTAAGCATATTCTTAACTTGACCAAACAAAAAATGTCACATTTGAACCAGATAAATTGTGTGTTAAAAAAAAATCAATTTTTTTTACAATATTTACCTTCATCATAAACACATTTTCAACACAAATTAAATCTCAGAAACTTCATCTCAAGCATATCTATATTGAACTCTAGCACTTTGTCTCCAGGTCTTCTAACAAATGATGGTAATAATGATCATTCGTAAACACCCTTGTTCTAAGTAAGTGTATTGTAAATGATTCATCTTTTCAGTAATTTTGTATTACTTTTGTTGCTTCATACTGGGAAGTGAGGATTACGACCTCAATATGAATCATATGTTGCATCTTGAATGCAAATAGATCAATGATCAAACGATTTCACGAGAATAAAAGAGCTGTTCAAAGGATGTGAAAATTAATTTAGTATATGACAGAAACATGTTTACCTTGTGTGTATCAAGCAAGACAACCTGTCTTGATTCACTTGATACTCCTTCAGTTCCAACGAATATGATTGGTGTGAAAAAAGAGGTGTGATATTTAATGTCAACATGAGGTGTACAGAGAAGTCAAAAGTCTGTGATCTTCGTCCACTGAATATTCCCGGCTACAAAGCCATAAGGGTAAAATCAGTGTTGTTCTTGCTGTGAGAACCCTCCGGTTCACAAACTGTGTTCTAGTGTGTACAGCCCTCCATGCACTTGTTCGTTTCTGGAGACGAAAAACTTGCACACTGGGGAGAAACTGAGTTTGTATCGAAAACGTACATCGAAGTTACTCCTAACGGCCAGGAATAAGCATCCTACCCAACCATCTTTCTTCTCGAGAGATATTTTGTGTTTCCAAATCGTAACATAGGTGTGCTTCAGTGCTATTATGTGCACGGAAGTCCTTCGAGAGTACAACTATCCGTATCTCTAATTATTTGCATCCAGTGTCAAATTGGGTTATGGTGACAATTATTATGGGTGCATTCCCAGATGCCAATAACCGTCTGGACAGCATTCAACATCAACAGCGATTGTTGCCGTCTGGGGGCCTGATAGGACCTCCAGAAGGAAATGGCCTTCAAAAACATCGTTCATTTCTCTGTGATTGAGATCTTTGCTCGTCATCTACCTTCCATGTTCCGAGTACAGGTAGTAGATTTACTACTGCATAATAGGACAAGATGTGCCTTTACTCTAAGATGGCAATTTCTTAGGCTATAATCTACATCGTCAATGCCCTTTTCGAATGTGCCATATTTGAATGTCTACATGCACAGTGCAAAAGACATGTATCTCCTTTTGTCCATCCACAGTGCAGATTTACATATCACTCGTACTGTCCAACCAGACAATCGAATAGGGCATTCACACAAAGAATCCAAAATGATTCGTGGCATATCCCACATTATCAAACCTGTATCCTTCTCCAGCATGTTAAATGGGCCTCTTATATTCCTTTCAAACATACTCCAAAGGGCCATTAAGACGATCTTCTCAGTAATCTAAGCCAAATACCATCGATGGTAATAGAGTTTCAAAGTTACAGGTGGCACTATAACCAAGGTCTGTACTCATCAACTCCGTCTGTGTTAGGTGCACAGATTTAGACGATGACACTTCACAAACATTAAGTGCAAACATACATGTTTAGATACTGCAAACAACTTTCTTTTTGCTCATGCACCTTGATGTCACACTGACAACCCGAAGCGATGAAATTTCAAAATCCTTTCAACAATTATCTGAGTAAAATACCTGGTCAGGCAAATCGCTACAGCTAATATCATCTGGACAATCCACGCTCTTTTAGCCAAACAAAGAACATGTATCTACGCGCGGCCCCAATAGGAACTATGAGCGGCTACACTGTCCTACTTTCCTCGACCTATACCTGCTACTGTCCGGAATAAACACAAAACTACACCCGATCACGGGCACTTCCATGGTGGGTAACTGAAGACTGCAAATAGACCAAGCCTGCACCTGCACCTGTCAATAGACTAAGACTGACTAAAACCGATTAAACACCCTGATCCGGAATAACATGATGCACTTATATGCGGTATGCAAGGGGAGAACGGGAGAAATTTGACTTAGGAGAAAGCAAAAAAAATCCGCTAAAATAAAAATAAAAATCAGAAATATACCAGATTCCGTTTTGGCAATTGACCGTCCAGATAAAGATGCGAGGCAAACACTCCCAAAACATATAATTTTGGCTTCACTGGTTGATCTGGGGCCAATGTCCAAAACAGGATTAAACAGAGTATGAATATGTTTGACGTGGTATTGAACCCACTAATCGTCAGGGTAGCATGTCGCTGCGAGATTGTACCCTTACGTATCACCAAGGAACCAAGTTAATACATTGCATGTTATTCATGTAACAAATAGTATAACATAATGGTAAATCTTCCCCTGACTTACCTCACACCACACAAAAGACCAGTGCAGCAGCTTTACCTCAATGAGACTGGTATGTCGAGGACAGATTGTGTTCTATACATTTCCACCCTCCATCCTACGATTCACCATTCCTGTGCGTGTTGGTGTTTTTTTTGTTTGCAAAGGCCAATAGGTTCAACATCATACTTCTCAGTCCATTTCCGTTAGACTGAAAAAACATAAATCACACTATCGTGGATTCAGGATAACACTAACAGCATAAACGCCCAAGCACAGCTCAATATCCACGCGAATCTACACTTGAATGGACGCTCACCCAAAAAGGTCCGGCTACCCGAGGACACCTTCCAAAGCGATGTGAAAAAGTCCTGAAACCAAACTGAAGCCTTTCGACAGCGTTTCTGTAACAAATACAATCATGATCCGAGTGGGTACCAAAATTATCTCATTCACGAACTAAATCATCTACAGAAAACTTTCCCTTGATATTGGTTCTAAGAACCTAATTCTGGGATTAAGAAGCATAGCAACAAAGGATAACACAGGGACCTGCACATCTCAAGCGTTAACCTATGTGCCCATTTTCGGTTGCGTGCGGGGAGGCAAAAACGTCCAAGCACCCCCCAGTCTCATCTCCAGCGCCAAACAGTTACGTACCTCCTGCTTCTCGTAAGGGAGGTGGTCTCCTGCATGACGCTCAACATCGGCGCTCGACATAGTCTATCAACAAAGAAACTTTTACATATACGAACTCTCTGCCGTGTTCTGACCTACACCGTCAGCTCTTCCGAGCTCGGTCCTATCCTCATCGTCGATTCTCAGAAAGTGCAATCGACCTTGGAGCTTCTAAATACTGAGTCAGGCTTCGATGAACCTCAGGTCCTTAACACGGGCATGTATCTCCAAACTATCCTTACAATGCCGTGGTCAAAGTGGGCAGAGCGCAAGTAAACTTTTAACCCACATATTTCCTCCGTGCAAAACAACCCAATCTCTCGCCATGATTACTGCTGCTGCTGTTGATTTTGCTGTGGGGGAGGAGGTGGTGGCATGCCAGGTCTTGGAGGACCACCAGGAGGGCCTCCATACATGCCTGGGGGTGGTGGCATTCCAGGTCTTGGACCTCCGGGACCTGTTGGTGGCATCCCAGGGCGAGGCGGACCACCCATTCCGGGGGGAGGACCTCCAGGAGCTCCTGGAGGCGGTCCTCTCATCATCGGAGGAGGCCCCATGGGTCTTTGCCCATAAGCTCCAGGGGGTGGCATTCCAGGACCTCCTGGTGGACCGCCAGGAGAACCTCCCATCTGCCCCATTTGAGGTGGACCTCCAGGAGGTGGAGGCATCCCGGGTCGTGGTGCATACTGAGGGGGGGGAGCCCCCGGCTGCCCAGACATCATCGGTGGTCGCATGTTCAACGGAGGCCCTGGAGGAGCTTGCATTTGACGAGGCGGCCCTCCGAATTGTCCCCCAGGAGGCGGTGGACCAGGAGGTCTGGCCCCGGGAACTTGTGGAACTCCAGGTGCGCCACCAGGAGGAACAGAGTAGCTCACGGGCCCGGCAGAGACTTGAGGAACTGGTGGCCGATTCAATTGAGGCTGCATCATTCCTGGGGCAGGCCCTCCGACTCCTCTGATAGGACCTGCTAATCCTGGTTGCGCTTGTCCAATGGGTGCTGTAGGTATTCCTCGTCCAGCTGCACGACCCGTTCCCGGCCCTGCTTGAGCAGCCGCGGCAGCCTTGGCTCTCGATTCTTCCTGTGGGGGAGGACCCTCTACTGTCATCGAAATTACTTCCTCTCCTCTAAGTAAAAGAAGGCCAAGTGTTCTGCGCTCCTCCCGTTCTTCCTGTGACTTGCCTTTCTTCGGGGGTAATCGCCGAAACTCCTCACAATCTCCTAACACCAGGTTCATGTGCCGGTCAAAGGCCATGAACTTTCCCACAAGCTGTCGTCCATCCTGTATAGTGACTCGCATTCGATAATTTATGTACTGTAGCAACTTGGAACTCTTAGACATCGACATTGTGACGCACCTTCCGAAACAAAAGAGTGAAATTTACAACTACCACTACCACGTCGTTCCTATCAGAGACCTAGCAGGGCGTTTCCCGTGAAACAAAATGAAATAAACCCTGCGCCAGCTTCAGACCGAGAGATAAGACAGCCGAATCGACCCGAAATCGCTGCTGCTCAAGAAGCAAGAATATCAATTCGAGCGGCACCACCGGAGTGAGGGGATTTCACAAAGCTCCAGGTTGCCCGCGGCCGCGACGAAGAAACCACAATCCCGCGAGCCTAGGAGCGATCGCGCTCCTCTTCCAGAACGCGCAGTCTCATCGGTGTCCGAAGAGTACACGAGACGATCGCTTGCACTTTTCTGTCGTCGACGCCATCTCCATCTTCGCGCTGTCCTACCTTCGCTTCAGCGACTGCCTCTCTCGCTCGTCGACCTGTTCCTGCCCTCGCTCGTTGAGGCCCAAAGCGTTCGAAGCCACTGGGCGCGAGAATGGACTTCTTCTTTAGGGTTTGCGCGCTCGACTATTCTCCCACCAAAGCCCTTCCCTGTGCCAGATTTAATTTTGTACTCTCTCCAGATTTATTTTGTCCTTCATTTTGTACTCTTTGCTACTCTCTGAAGAGTTGCAGTCGATTATTACGCGGGCTCATGAGCAATGCCCAGGTTTTCAAGGTCCATGTATTAATTACTTCCACACTTTCCTAGCGATTTGCTCGGATTTCTTATATTGTTTAAATCAAAAATGCAATGCCGTCAAAATGCAAGAAAGAAAAAGTCAAAAGAAAAATTGTCCCTAGTCTTTTGAAATTTTCATATTTGATTCAATTTTGATATTTGATTTAATGTTGAGTTTCACACTTATTTACATCATAATATCACAAATGTGTAAATTGATTAATCCATTTTTTTACACTCATCTAATTTTGCACATGCATACACAAAAATCACAAATGTTAGAACTTAAGGAAAAATCATTTATTTACTACTAGGAATATAACACACTTCTTCGTCTTCTTCGTTTCATGAAACAAGATTTAAATAGCCCTTAGCATTGGATGTAACCATCAACTTTTACGAGAGAGAATCTGAGCACTTAGTACAGGACTAGATGTAATGTGTCATTGTGATCCCAGTAAACTCACAATACATCTAACAAATCAAGTTTTTTAGATCGAAGAGTATACATATTGCTTGCTTTCTAAGCATTTACCTACAACTGAATACCTTGGTTATTGTTACTCGACTCGCTGCTCATATTCTTGGACATGAGAAATTGTAAAAACTATGTTTGCTACACTAATTTATCATCCAACTCAAATTTCGACTGTTTCAAATGAACCGAATAAAGGCAATAATTTTACTTCATGTGAGATTTTACTAATTTTTCCCTCATTTCTTTGCATATAGCTATATTCTGTCATACCATCACATGCTTTATAGTGATGTATAAGTCTGCAAGTTTTATATTTTTTTCAGATTACTTCATAGTTATATATTACATAGCATCATGATTGAATACAAATATTATTAAGATTTATCATTCGGGATGATCAACACATAAATAATTTGCAAAGTTATTTGACCATAAAAATATAAAAAATATAGAATATTTCACATAAAATATAAATTATTTATTTCATAATTTATATTTGAATGATTAAAATATAATTCTAAATTATTGACTTATTTATACTATTAAAATAAATTCCTTGATTCATGTAATATTTTCAATTTTTTTAAGACTTCTTTTAGATATCTGGGTAGTAAAATAAAATTGTGTATCATAATAAAAAAAATTATTAATCAATTTGTGGTATCAATAAATTTTGAATTGATCTGAATTAAAGATTGAATTGGATTTAGGATAGATTATAACTTTTGTTTTAGGTATAACTTAGAGTATAGCTGCATATGTGGAAAGTAAATCCGTGTGCATACATCTAGGACAACATGACAATAAGTATAAAAACTTGCCAAATATAAGTTACAGATTGAAGTAACCATTATAAGGTACAGAATTCCGCAACAATAATAAGATATGGGAGTATTATAAAAGCTATATGGAGAAGAACCAACTAGCATTGGATCTTATCGAGAGATTTGAGGTATTTAAAGATTTTGGAGTTCCAAAAAGGATTTTTTTTACCCAAGCTACAATGTGGAGTGAAAGACTGGGATGAACTTTTGCAAAATCATCATCAATTGGATTGTGTAAACTTCAAAGTAAAAATAGATAGTTAGCACTATGAAGATTTTTCACTATGTCGCATGTTAAAGAAAGTAAGATTACCTCGTCCCAAGCAAAATGTCACATAGCTCCAAGAGACTAGCGGGCAAACAAAACAAATGAAAAATTTCAAATGTAAGATTTCATAATTTGTTTCCACGAAAACTATCTAATTGCATACCAGGGTTGTCAATTTGATTAAAATTATAAATTTTAATAAGAAGAAAATCTAAAGTAGCATTATTCCCTTATGCATTTGAGTTTTCTATTTATGATTTTTCAAACTCTGATATGTTTGTGCGTGAACAATTTAGAGGATGCTAAGGTGCTGGATATGGATAAGAATCTTAGAAATTTGGGACAAAACTATTTTGAACTTATAAAAAAACGTTATTACAATCCAAAATCCGATATCTCTCGAATGCATTGAAAGATAGCTTCATTGTTTAGATTATTTGAAAATAAACTATGTGCAAATGCCGTTCATTATATTTAAAATTTCAAAAAAGTAATAATAATAAATATATGTTGGCAGTGTAGCAAAATCATAGGAAATAAATATTGAAACTAAGGCCAATAAAGGTTGATCGGGTTTAAGGAACTAAGGCGTAAATTTACTTATATGCAAACTGATATGATACAATGATTGAGTCTATTGTTTGCAACAAAAAAATATAACACAGAAAAATGTGTTCTTATAAAGATGATAAATATATTGGTAATTAATATTAGTTACGAAATATTTTGAAAGTTACTCTTCCTCGTTTAACATCAAAGTATCCATAGAACTATTTGTAAATATACAGTTCAACAATCTCAATATTATCATGTTTTCACAAATCTGTATTTTTTTAATGATCAATTTTCAATTAAAAAAAAATATCCATGATGTGAATTTGAGATTATAACAACTTCATATATTTCTGAATATTTATTTTGAGATTCATATTCATGTAATGATTCATCAATTACATGAATACTTGCATAAAAGCTTTTTTTAGCAAGTTGTTCAATCTAATACTTAGAATTTTGTCAATCATTTCAATTAATTATGATATAATCATCATTACAAATGGAATGTAAATATAAAGAAATAATGTTTGATATAATCTTGCATGTGCAATAACTTAGAATCTACTAATGATTCAAGCTATGATAAAAAATATATATCTTAACATATCACTTAAACAACTTCACAAGCTTATCTAGATTTGTTGTCTAATCAACATGTTTTTTATATTAAATGCTAGCATAAACTTTCTTATCTTGACCTATAACCCAAGGTTGTAAATTTGCAGAAGTTGAATCTAAGAACAATATTGAAATATTGCTCTGATTCAACTTCTGGTCTGGGTGGACTTAGGTTAGGAGTATTTTCTGCTAAAAAAGTAGACAATAAGGTAAATGATTTATTAAATTGTTTATGAATTGCAAATATTTCTTTTGGATATACTGCACAACTTTCAGAGGATAGAAACAACGTGTTCTCCACCTGAAAGTTGGAAGTTGAAAATACTTCTCTACTACTTTTTTTTAAGTGCTTCCTATTGCTAGGTCCTTTAGATTAGGTGGGAACCTCTGACTTCCTATGGTATGTAAAACAAAGCTAATTATAATGCATCTAAATAGAATTGACGAGAATTTGATTGACTTTTGTTGATTTATGCAGTAAGGTTTAAAGTTTTCATAAGCAATGTTATTATTAGATGAAAAGGTTTCAAAGTAACATGACACGGTTTACTATATAAAGTAAAGTTAATTGTGATTAATTTATTGTCAAAACATGATAAAGCAATATCAATTTAAAAAATAACAATAATGATAGTAAAGTAACTAAACCATTTCATTCAATATTACATATATGATTAAATGATAGCTTCAATCAGTATGCTTCATCTTTTTCTAATCATTTTAATTTTGTCCAACATTAAATTTACATCAAATATTTTAATTTTGATATATTTATAATTTTTTATTTACATAACTACAAATTATTTTTTTAAAACGAAAAGAAATTACAATTAAAATTTCATTTTAATTTATAATATTTTTCATTAAATTACTAATTTTAAAATTTAATATAAACTATGATTAAATATCATGTATAGCCAAAAATAAAAATCAAGATTAGGCAATCATTCATCAAATAAAAAAATATATTTCAAAAAAATTCCAAATGTGTTTTGTCTGCATTAAGTAATTATGAATTGTATTTGATATGTAAAATATATCATGTTGAGTTATTTAATCATGAATGTGTTGAAGATGAACGAAATTAATGTTCTAACTAAAAACATTTATAAACAATAACAGATCATGATGACGACCATAATTTTTTTGCATGAACTATACTCAAAATGAGATTTAGTTATGATTCATAATTGAAACATGAATCAAAAAATTTTTAACATATATAAAACAATAATTTTATAAAAAGTACACAATTTTGAATATACATGATAATATGTTTAATGGAAGATAAAATAAATAAAATACAAAATTATTTTTTATTTTTTATTCATGTGTCTTTTTAACATCTTGTAAATAATAAAATATCATTCATGAAATTTTTTTGTTTACAATGATATATTATGATTCATAACACAAAGTATGATCATGTAACCTAAAAGACATGCTTATATTTATGCTTTAGTCATCATTATCAGCTATGAATGATTTTTCTTGCATGGCATCATGAACTTTAATATATAAATGAAAACAAATACCATGCAATTTTACATTTCACATGCAATTTTCAAAAACTGATATTCACATATGAGATCCAAATATTTTAAAGAAAAAAATAAGAAGAAATCATCATCACAAGAATACTATTCAATGATGAATATTTAGTCTAAGTATAAAGATAGTAATATTTTTTGAAAAAATGTGATTTTTAAATATTAAAAAACAAAAAGTAATTAATTTTATTTATAAAAAATGAATTTAAATTTCGAAGTGCGAATCAAAGAAACTCAAGAACAACTGTATGCTTATTTATATTGACTTACATACAAGACCAATGAAATGTTGAAATAATCAGAAAATTTTATTAATTATTTATAATAAATAATAAATAATATAATTAAAAGATAAATTCGTTAAATAAAATAATAAATAATATTTTACTACAGTATAAAAAATAATAAGAATGGAAATATTTGTCCCAAATAAATAAAAATAATATATTTTACAACAGATTTTACTAAATTGGAGTTTGCATGCCTTATGTCATTGTGTTTGA